GAATGTTCATAAGAATTGAGAACTTAATTTACAATCTGTACTGAATTAATATAGATTCAGGTGTTGCTTTATCATAACAGCATTCTCTTAGTCATCTTGTGCTACAAAAGCTTGTTGCTTATCTTTAAACACTGAAATAAGTCTGCTGTTTGTGTTTAGTTGCCTTTCTGAAGTACCACTTCAAAACACTTCATTGACAGCAAGCAAGTCAATAATGTGTAAGGGTTTGCTTGAATATATTGCTTGAATTCAGCCTGATATGAAATAAATATCCACAGTCAAGTCAGAGCACTAAATTTCAAGCAATCGGATTTGGTGGAATTAAGAAAATCAATGAACATCATGCAGCAACAGGGTTTATTAGAATCCCTTTGTGTGAGAAAGAGACTTGGGACTGCTGAGACTTTATAGCCAACGTATAGCAGGCTGCAGTTCCTCTGAAAGAAGATCACAAAAAACGAGAAGTGGTCAGTGTGGCTTTGCAAAATACTGCTCAAAGATACAATGAGGTTTAAAAGATGCTGTTGGAAGTGGGAGAAGATGAGGGGGCACACCAAAATACACAATCAGTTAGGGCTCTCAGAGAAAAGGGAGACAGCAAGGAAATCGAACTCAAGTAACAGAAGTGAAAGGTTTTGACATTTAAAGCAAAGATAAGAGCTAAAAACAGTACAAGGGAAAATAAACTGAATTGTTACATGAACTTTGAATCTCTAGAAGAATTAAAAAGCAATATAGAATGAAGAAAAAAACCAACATTGACACTAAAATAGAAACCTGGAGAGCTTTTTTTCTCATTTACGAGAAAAAAATTAGGAAATAATAAGGTTATAAAATATGTCTGACTACAAATGGTTGAATTTTCCTATAAGCCTTCACCTGTAATGTGCTGTGTTGAGATAACCAGCCTCTCAAGATGTTAAAGCATTTTCCTGTTGTATTTTTGAATATTTATTTTGAATCATCATGAGTAGTTCAGAAGGTAAGCAAAGAAGAAATAAAAAGCAAATACAGCATCAATGTAATAAGATGTTGGGGGGATCCAAGCAAGAGCAACAGAAAAGTTACTTGAATCCACTATTAAAGTGATGAAAAAATAGGGGAACATCATTAAGTATCTGGATAGTAACTTAATGAAATAGATAAGTAACATAAAACAATGAAGAAATGCAGACAGTTCTCACCCACAAAATGTTTTTAAAAAAAAAAAAAAACTTTAGTATTCTTTGGAAAATTGATAAATGAAATGTGCTGTTAGTGCATCATTGTCCAAGGTTTAAACCCCTTCCTATAAATTTTAAAAGCTATTTAGCAGGTTTAAAAAAAATAAAAAGAACCTGCTAAGCTTTGTGCATATGCTGAACTTCAAGAATATGAATAAACTCACTCACATCATCTTCAAGTGTTTAATGCTTGTGCGTACCATTTGAGGATCAGGAAAATTGTATTCTCAGTGGGCTAAACCCCATCCATCATCCTCTAGCTGCATAAAAAGGCCCAAAGCTCAAACCAGTTTAATTTATCTGTATGACAACAGAGAAGAGAATGAGAAATCTGTGCTTTATGTGCTGTAGAGCTATGCTTTGTAAGGGAACTTTTGGGTGTAGCAGTAATGTGTGGCTGGATTGTAAAACTAGGCCCGCCCTTCCGACCTCTCCCCAAGCTATTTGGCATTTTCCTGAAGACAGAAGGTGAGAATTTGAAAGTGAGATTTTTTTCTTCTTCTTCACAGGCAGTCTTTTGGCCTTCCAGAACTGAGGAAATATTTCTGAAGTAATAACATGCTCTTCTGGATGTGTCTGGAACTAGAAAGAGGCAGATACAATGGACAGCCAAGAAAAAAAAAAGTCTAATATTGTGTAGAGCATGATTTGAGCTGAAAAAAAGATAAATGTAGTTATTGCTTGTTTTCATCCTACTTGAGTGAAATATTAACTCCTGCATATGTTTGGAAAAAACAAAGGAAAGAATTGATTACTGATATGAGAGAAGGTTTAATGATGATTAATGTAAAAAGAAAAAATAGATTATAATATAAAAATTTCTGAAATAGAGCTTTTCAACTGCAGAACCTGCTAGATGACATGCTGAAAGTCCCTTACTGGTGAACATCTAACATTTGGCTGGACAAAGCCCTAGGAAATACATCATAAAAACTATTTCTAAATTTAACTTCTTTTTGAGTTTGAATGCAGTGATAAACATTTGCTGTTTCTAATCCAATAGAAGATAGAAATTTGGAATTTCCTAGGTATGATTTTGGCCTTGTGTAAAAGAGAACATCAAAACAAGAGTCTTTTGCCGTGGTTACATTAGATCATTAGCAAAAATGCTACACACATGGTTTACATTTCAAAACCTACTGCCAGACCAGATTGAAATCTGCTCTAGCCAGCTTCTTTGGACCTGCTAAAATATACCTGAAGTACTGCGATTTTCCCGAAAATACTGATACGATGCTGACTGTGTCAGTATCGACTAATACAAATACCAATTTTTGTCTCTAGCTAGGTTTCTGGACTTGCTAACAATGAGAGATTTTGCATATTTTCCACACTCTACACATACTGCTGTTTTGTTCTTTTCAATATATAATATCTCTTAAAAATTAGAAGGGGGATAAAAACTCTATCCTCATTAGAACACATTGAGACTGAAAGATTAATGAGGTGCTCCTACTGAACCCTGAGATCTGGATCATAACTTAGAAAAGCTTTGGCTGTCTGGATTTGATTGGTCAGGGATGTCCTGTGCTTTGACAAGAAGAAAGGCCCGTTAGGTACACAAGATCAGTAATCCATTTCTTACTGTTAGGAATTCTGGCTTTTGCATGGCACTTAAAATTTTAATACTAGACAGGAGTTAGTAATACACTGACTCCTGTCAAAACTAGCAACAGTATTTGTGTTTATTGTGCCACCTAGGCATACGTAGATGTTTAGTAAGACAAAATGCATTTTGAAAGAATCAGGCTTCCAGATATGTTGGAAATATTTGGGGATAAATTTTTTAAATGTGATGATTGACTTCAAACAGAACTGTGGTCTGGAGTCTCTTGGCATTTCTGCCCTAGCCATGTACCTGGAGGAGTTTTGCATGCTGACCCTTATCCTTAAAAAGACAATAAAAATCATTATGACTTGTAAATTTATTTAAAATATTTTTAATAGAGAATCAAGTTATTTTACAATCCAAGATCAAAACAACAACACAAAAATACTACTGGAATACCTCTTGTACGCCTTTTTGGCAGTGTTCAGAAACCAGACATTTAAAAGAAAGTTTCCAAGGTGCTGAAAGGCTCAACAGCATTTAGTGTTTGGATTTAGAGCCTTTAGCGTTTGTCACTACTTGCTTTCCAGCCTGTCGTTATACTGATAAAAAAGATCATTCAGTTTACCTCCTCTGTCTTCTTCAGCAGTAATCATATCTTGTGTATTAGATGTTAGTACTATCAGGCTATTCATAGACTTAAGACTGCTTCTGCAGTGTTAACGCATCACATGGTTTCTTTCAGCATTGCTAAAGGAAACCATAAAAAATGCTACATAGTTAATTGCAGGCAAAGCAATTTTGAACTAGTTGTGTTACCTGTTAGCATATTTTGACTTCATGGGGTTGACAGCTGGTTTTGTGGCTTTCCAGTACCTGCTAGGTTTTTTTGGCATAGAATGAAAGGGAAAATTGGGAATAACAGGGTGAACTGTTTAATTAGGGAATATGTTTGCCATTTTTGTCCTTAACTTTTCTAAGTTCTCTTTTCATGTAACGCTGCTATAGGTCAAAGAGAAGATTCCTGCAGACCAACCCCCTTCCTCTTTGTGGTCTTCAAACTTCAGTGCTCTAAAATTGCTGTCTTTAATGAAGCTATTAAGAAAACGTGCTAAAATGGTACACCTCTTTCAGGACAAGGGGTTTATCATGTAAATTATATACTTCTTTCAATATTGCCTGACAGGCTAAGAGGCTTTCATTTGAAGAGACACCAATGCATCCTTGAAGTCCATTAAAAGAATGTGTGAATAACTTAAATGACACACTTTGCTATTTCTTTCAATGGGAGCAGAGAGGAAAACTTACTGCTTTTGGAGTAGCAACTTTAACAGTTCTGTGGTTTATTTTTGAGATCAGGCAGTTGGGGGAGGTCATTTATTGCATGTAATCTTTTCTAGTCTGAACATCCAAGGAGAAGAGTAGTCTCTCTTCCTTTTCTGTCATGCTCTCATTATTTAAAGACTTCTAATAGATTTTGTACAGCTTTTCTGCAAGCAGTCCTCCTTGAGGTCAAGACCAAGTAAGGAAAGTCTTCAGCCAAATTCCTTTTGAATTGGAAATTTTAAACAACTTGAGGAAAAAGGAGTAAGACAATGGAAAGTGGAATCCAGCCTTATTTGTAACAGATGCTATTAGCACATGCTTAGATTTATAGCCTATTTTGGCACCATTTCATGTCTTTCTTCTGAAATAACTTTAATGTAGAATATTCCTTGCCGGTCTTAGGCAAAAGGGCCTAAATAAAACAGGGTGCAGTTCATTAAAAATACATTAAACAGAAGGTAAGGATTAAGCTGGGAAGAAGAATTATCTTAACCTTCATTCCTGAAGTGGACCTGGACATGCAAATAGGGAGTAGGAAGACTTGGGTTAACACTTCTGTGCTGTTCTTTCTGTGCATTGAGGACACATGTAGCGAAGTGATTGCAGTTCTGATGTGAATGCAGAAAACCAGGAGATTCAAACCCAAAGCGTGGCTTACCCAGCTACTTTTAGATGCGTGGTGATCTAGAAACAATCATGAGTGTCTTCGTTTCAGTGGCATAGGAGTTTTTATGCTGCAGTATTAATGTAGCAAAATTTTTGTGGCAAGAGATTCTGCTTCAGCCAAGTGGAGTGCGTCCTTTGGTTTTCTTGGTTCATAAGCAGATTTTTAGCACAGAATGTCAAATCAGATAATTTATAAATATGAAGTAAAATTAGCAAAATGAGACAGTCTTCCTCACTGCTCATTACTCACTTTTTCTGATAAATTTCACTCATTTAACTAGACTGTACTTCTGCTCACAGAGGGGGTTCCCCTTCCAGCTTATCTTTTTAGATATTCAATAGATAATTAAAATTCAGAATGTTAACGGTGCTGCCTATTTTTAGAACCCGACATAAATATGGGTAGACAGAGATTTGAAAATGAATTAATAAAGACCAGAGCTCTTAACCATTGTGGTAAAAACGTTGGTAGACACCTGTTGTAACCTCAGAAGTACAGCCGGCACAGGGAAGAAAATTTCCAACCATTTCTCTTCAGACATTTCAGCCCACCAGGGTTGGAGAGCAAGAGAAGGTGATACCTCTGTACAGAAGGCAACATGATTCTCTGAATCACTTTGAATGCTACAAATATATACAAATGCTTATATATATGTGTGTGTGTATACACACACACACACACAAAATATCTGACAAAATAGAACAAACCCCAGTAAAATTTGCTTTTGCAAAGATAAAATTATCCTACATTTCAAAAGTTATGAAGTTAGTAACACATTTGGGTTAAACGTGATAAAATTCTCTAAGGAAGATATCGACTGCAGGCATGTTTTACAATCGTGTCCTGTACCAGGTGTGTCCAGGTTGTGCCTTTTGAGCAGCTATTTAAATGATCTGCCAAAATAGAAAGCTGTTTTCTAGCTAGTGTAATCAGTGACCACTTTAAAAACCTAGGTGGTTCATGGATTAGTTCTTGAGCAAATTATAGTTTTGCTGAGTCTTGCATATGTGAATGTCTAATTTCTTCTTGAAGCTCAATAAACTCCACTCTTCTGGGATCCTTTGTCTAAGGTCTAGCATAATACATTCTGTCTGTATTTTTCTTCTCCTGAAAGTGCTATGCAAATCCATCTGACCTGTGTTAATCCACTCATATTTCGGTCCAATGTTCTGAATGTACTTAGGGGCACTATATTCATAGCACATCAGAGTTGATGTGTTTACTTTTCCAAGACCCCTTTCACATAGTTTTATACGCCCAGCTTCACAGGCAGATTTTGGCACCCAAAATGGGATGTAGGCAGACAACAACAGTTGAAGAGCAGAAATGCCAACACCTGCACTTCTTCGCCTGTGCCTGTAACTCCAAAACATAGCAGGCAAGTGCTTTGTTACCATCATGTCTGCTGCGTGCATGTGTGCCTGCTCACAAGAGTAGTGCTGATTAGCTACAGGCATCTTTCTCACACCTAAAATGTAATTGTAGTTCTTCAATCAAACTTTGCCTATGCCCTCCTACAGCCAGGAGCTCCATATAGATGCAGCAGTTGGGATCTTCAAGAGAAGACCCTTGATAGAGTATCCTCTCAGGAAGAGGGATCTGGTTTTGTGTCCTCTCTTGCCTTTCACAACCATGTCATAGATCCCCTGCTGTAGGCTGTGCTGGGGATGGGGAGTCTCCATCTCCTTCATTTAAGCTGCGCAGAAAAGAATTCAAGATTCCTTGGGCCAGAAAGAAGGAGCAAAGCAGTATTGGTTGCCTAAGTTGTTGACAGGGGAAAGCCGAAGCTGCAGTTTTGAAGACTTATAAAACATTGTGGCTAACGAATGTTTAAAGATGAATTCCTAACTTCTCCTAACAGCCAGTTTCTGTGGCTTTCCACACAGCTTATGTGCTTTTGAGAAAACTTTTTGAGGTGCTTTGCTCAAGGTGTTAAGTATGAATTCTGCTGCAGAACTGAGATATTGTAAAGTTGGGCACGACACTCCAACATGCAGTTTGAAGGAATTTAAACTAAGTTTGCTGCCTTGCCACCCTGGCGCTGCCCTCCACCTCTGGATCAGATTCATCATTGATTACTCAAACTGGTTGCTCAAACTGATCGTTAATTCAGGTTCCTGAACAGGTGGTTGCCAGAATACAAGTGCTGGCTCAAGGAAGAGGGCAGGAACACATGGCCCCAGGGCTGGACGGGACCAGAGCAACCCTTCCTGAGAGTAGGCAGAGTGCTACAAGTCTGCACTTCTTGCATGAGTTCAGCCTCGGTGCCTTGCCTGTCTATGCAGGACATGCAGGCTATGCCACAGAAGAGACTTGAACGTGGATCCATGAAGTCCATCATTAGTAATGACAGTTCTAGACTTAACCTGTGGCAGGCCTACGATGCTTCGGTGAAGTCAGCATTGTGCTAATTCAACTGATACCCTAATGTGAAATTCACTGGCATATTGAAAACTCAGTTTACAAATCCAGAGAAACTTCAGGTAATGCACTGGGCCTTTGATCTCTGACTCTTGATGCATTTTATACAGGCAAATATCAGAACCCATGGAAGCCAATGAAAAAGCTCCCATTGGCTTCAGCAGTCTCAAAAATCACATGCATGTTACTTGCTAAATTAAGTAACAGAGCTGTCCCACCAGGTGTGTTGCAGTCTCCCTGGCAGTGCAAGGTGGGGTACAAAGAGGCTAGCTGAGTCACCCCCCGCCAGCCACCCCGTGAGTAAGTGCCAGTGGCAGGCATGGAAGTGAGATATGCAAAGGCTTAGGTCTCTCTTCTACCCATCACCACGCCCTCCAAAATTTCCTGCCAGAGGTGAATGGTGTCGAATTTTGTCTGTGAGGTGTGTTTAAAAGAGAGGGAAGAAAATGATTCTAATGAATGAATAATAATCCAGACTTCAAAAGCGTTCTTAACGTTTCTGGGAGTAGCATGTAAATAAAATAACTGAAGAAACGTTGTGGGTTCTATCTTAAGACCTCAAGTCAGACTAGCTAGCTTCCACCAAAGGTAGTAACTGAAAACCGTATTCACTGTTACAAATGGCTCAGCCTTTTGGTGGAGCCTTTTTAGTCAAGTTGACCGCTTTAGGTTGAACAGCTCACAGATTTTGGTCTGAGTATGACAACTCTCCCCCCCCCCCCCAATACGCGCCTATATTTAAAGAAAAGTAAAACCAACACTAGGGCTGCAAAATTCAGACTTGTACACAGTATGGTCAGCCTTAAGTGACCACGTGGTAGTAAGCACTCATCTGGAAATATGTGTTTGAGGCTTGCTGGGAGGTGTTATCAGTATTCATAATGTTGCATTCTATTTAACAAGAGTGTTTTTCTCATCAGTGGGGTCCAAGATGAAGTGTGTTTGCAAGATCAGTCTAGCTGCTTTACCAGTGTTGTTCCTTTTTTGTTTGAGCTTGTACAAGTATGAGTGAATCTCACTAAATGACTCCCCTTTGAAAGTGGCTGGTGCAATCTGCAATCAAACATCCTTCCTGTCCTTTTATCAAGTTGCAGAGAGTGGAACAAAGCTGTGCAGAGCTGCTTGAATCTTCAGTGGCTTGCCACACCACAAAATGTTAGGATTTTTGGAATGATGCTCCAGGCATTTCATTTCTTCTATTTTTCATCCTTTTGGGTTTTTTTTTAATAATTTTTCCCACTCCCCATATTTGAATTCTGTTTGGGTTTTCATCTACTAAATTCAGCATGTTTCAGTGAAATCCAATTTCTCTTCTTTTGTGAGAGTTTTAGAGTCAGGTTTTTTTTAGATTTTTTGTGTGTCTTTTGTTTTTTGTTGGGTTTGCTTTGCTTGGATTTTTATTGGGAAGGGGTTGTGATATGTTTTGTTTATTTGGGGTTATTACTTGAGGGGGATTTTGCAGTGCCAAGGTCTTCTCTTTCTTTCAAATTGCACTTCTCACCAATATATTATTTCAATCTTAACCTCAGTGTTAACTAGGATTTTCCCTCTGGCCAAAGAGACTCTATTATACAAAATCTGTTATATGAAATAAGAAAGTGTGCCATTTTGACCCTGGAATAGAAGAGGGTGTGCAATGGTAACACTGTGACAGTGATGCCAGCAGGAGATAGGAGCTAACAGAAAAAGGCTCGATCTCCTCAAGCGTCTTCCCTGGTAGATCTACCGCTGCTCAGAGATACAAACACACACTTGCTTGTTTTTATATTTGCCGCGCAGGTTGAAAACTCAGGGAAGCACTGCTCTGCAGAGCGTGATCCTGCTCTGAGTGTGAGGAGGAGGAATAAGTGTTTTAAGTCATATAGCCTGTTCCTCCTGTGTACCTGGTGAGTTCAAGGAGGAATATTTCACTGCTGCTTCCCTGCAGTATTTAATGTTTGCACAAGATTGCATCAAGATGTTTTTTTGTCTGCTACACTGCTATGCCTTTTCCACAAGCTTTATGGAAGAGGTGGAAGGGGAATTATATTTCCAAGTTTTTATTTTTTTCGTTAACTTATTGCCTCAGCAATATCTTGTGGCAGTGAGTTCCACAGGTTAATATCTGTGTGAACAGCTAGGAGTTGTTTCTCCTGTGCTTATATGTTGTGTAGAATATTTATTCTAACACTCGCAAAGAGCAATAATTGCAAATAACAGTTCATCATATACAATCACCTTGCTCCTTGCTCATGTGGGGGATTTTGGTGCCCACTGTATGACCTAAGTGCACTGGAGGGCTATAATTCACATATCAGAGCATCCTCAATGTGCATCAGCTGTCCCAGGTGAGCAGTCTGGGGAGACCTTCCCTGCCTGGGCTGCTACAAAGTGAACCATTTAGTGCAGGAAGGAGGACAGACAAAGTTGGAGGCTGCCCTACCACGCAAACCTGTGCCAGGGACATGAACAGGGTGCACGCGGGACCGGATGTTCCTGTAGCACCCAGCTTTTTCCAAGTCTCCAGCCAGCACCATCCCCTCCCTAAACACTCCCCAGCTGAGGCTCATGAGCTGATGACACATAGTACATCCACACTGCTGCATTCACAAGAGGTTTGCGTCGGCTGTGAGGTTGTGTGCAGCTCTGCGCTGTGAGGGGGAGGCAGTTGTCCCACAGCCGGAGAAGGACAGGAGACGGTCCTTCGAGTTTAAATCTAAATGTGGGGCAGGCAATAAAAACGTGGCAAGCAGTTTTCCTACAACTGCTTAGTGCTTTCTCAGATGCTCTGCAAAGCTGATGAAACTCAGTTCTTCTCAATGCTCAGCCCTTAGACCAGTGACTCACTTTGCCAAGCCAACACGGGCAGCTGCTTGCTACCCCCCAGCAAGTTCAGAGATAAGCACTGGAGGTTCTCAGATGCATTTCATGGAAGCCAGCTCAGAATAAAAGGCAGCCCTTCATTTCAGGAAACCTCATTTTTCATTTGTAAAACACTTTCATTCAGAAAAGGTAAAAAAAAAAAAAAAAAAACAGAAAGACAAGCAGAGCGCTACTTCTCTCCAACCTTAGCAAATAAATTGAAAAGTAGCTTAAATTCTTTGAAAAATGTAAAAAGTATGTTTTAAAGGGGCACCACGAATTCCAGCAGTTGCCTGTTGCTTCCTAATTACAATTGCTTGCAATTTTGTCAAATGACAGCCATTTGGGCTGGAATATTCTAGCTTGGAGTCTGCCCCAGTATATTTTCTCTGCCTGGAAATTTTAAGTGGTTATTGATCATTTAGCTGGAAGAAAATATGTTGTTTTTTTCTCCATATGTCAAGAAATTTGGTGACCTTTTCTTCATGCCCCCAGGCTTTGGAAAAAGGACGTGAAATGTGGCAGGATTTTGGCCTGTGTGTCAAGGATGTGCTGCTTGCCTGCAAAAAATCTCCATCCAAATTTTGCCAAGTCATAAGCCTGTGAGGTGATAAATCATCTCACTCACAAGTGTGTACTGAAGCTGGACAGCAAAAAAAAAAAAAAAATTTCCTCCTCAGGGCTCCCTGTGCTTGAAAGTCTGTACCTGAGCCTCTCTGCAGCACAGCCAGGTGCTGAAGCCCTGGTGGCCAGGCTTCAGTAGGGTCTTGCTTGGGTCCTGCTGCCACGAGTGCT